GTCCCTCTGGGTGCGCTGGGTGCCCCCCTCCCTGCTCCTGGCCGTGGTGCCGAGTCACTCAGGGCCTGGCAGGGACAATGTGAGGGAGCGGCCAGGCCTGACAAGGAGAGGAGACACGTAAGCCCCCAGCCGTACCTTGGACAGCCCTGGGGGGGCGGGAGGGGGCGCTGGGGAAAGGCCCTTGCGTCCAGCAGCCGTCCAGCAGCATCGCCGAGTCCCACGGGGGCTTGCGGAGTGGCATGGGCACAGGGCGCCGCTGTAGCCAGGTCTGACTCGGGTGCCCTCCTGCCCTGGCACCAGCACGAGCGGGCAGCACCTGGCCAGGAGCCTTTTGCAGGACTGGTGCAGGGCGCTGGGTGTGGGCGTGCACAGGGCCCTGCTGGTCACACCCGTTCTCGGTGGTCCTGGACCAGGTGGACATTGAAGCCACCATGCAGCCCACCTTCCTGCCCTGGGCTCTCTCTCTTTTTAAAGTTTTTATTTTTTGAGAGGGGTTTTTGGTGTAGGGCATGTACGATTGCTGGAAGGACAGAGAGAGATGGAAAGTAAGACATTACCCCCACCCCGGGGGGGGATGGCCACACTGCAGTCTCTTTTCCTTCATTCTCCTTTCGGAATCTTGGGCACGCAAGCACATGGCCCAGTGTCAGTCTAAGCCACCAGGCCTGGAACTACAGTCAACCACGTGGGAGTCCAGTGACATAACCATTACGCTATCTGCTGGTCCCTCTCTCGCTCGCTCTCTCTCCTTTCTTTCTTTCTTTCTTTCATTTTTTTTTTTTTTGAGAGGTTTTTGCTATAGGGGGCATGTACTCATCAGAAAGACAGAGAGGCAGAAAGCGAGAAATCCCCCCCTGGGGGGATGGCCATGCCACAATCCCTTCTCTATTCTTCTCTCAGGATCTTGGGCACGCATGCACACGCACCTGGCGGGAGTTTAAGCCACCGGATCCGGGACTCAAACAGCAGTCAAATGCATGGGAGTCCAGCGACATAGCCATTACACCATCTGCTGGTTCTCCCCCCACTTTTTTAAAAGAGATTTTTGCTATAGGGCACATGTGCACTCACTGGAGAGACAGAAAAACAGTAAGTGAGAAATCATCCCGGGGGGTGGGGATGGCCACGCTGCAATCCCTTCTCCTCTTAGGATTTTGCACACATACCTGGCATGAGTTTCAAGCCGCTGGGTCCGGGACTCAATGCGCGATTGACTATGTGGGAGTGCAGCGATGTAACCATTATGCTCTCTGCTGGTCCCAAGCCCTGGGGACCTTTAGGCTGGGGAACATGAGGGCCCTGAAGCAGGGGAAAGCTAAGGCCGCCCTGCTGGAGTTTGAGGAGAAGGTTAATCACGCTGCCATCCCCAGGGCGGATCCGGAGGGCTGTGGGTAAGGACCGTGTGCAGGGTACAACAGGGTACAAGGCCCCCGCGGCGCAGCCGGAACCACTGCTGCTGGGTGGAAGGCCCACTCAGGCCACGGGCCCTTGGGGCATGCCCCCCCCTTCTGCTGTGAACTCCAGGCCCAGGTGCTGGCCAGGCCCCTGAGGTCTCTGGCAGGCAGCCAGCACCTCTAGGTGGCAAATAGCCAGAGGTGGTTGGCTGACCATAAGGGCAAGAAGAGGGGCCAGGGAGGGTGGCCGTCCCCCTGAGAAGTGGGTCCGAGGACTCTGCAGAGAGCCTGAGCATCCTCACGGAGCAGACCCACGAGGAGAACGCAGCGCTCCAGGCGGCCGGGGACAGTGCACATGGAGAGGGTGGCCTCGAGTTCTTAGTGCCATCCCCGTCAAAGCCAAGGAGGAGGAGGTAGAGAGAGAGCCCCCTGGGCTGAGCCAATCCCCAAAATTTCCAAGACGGGTGTCCGTGCCACCTCCGCACTTAGTGGTGGCCTGGCTGGCTGTGGGACACATCAGATGAGGAGCCGGTAGACAGTGACACTTTGGATAATGAGTCACAGGAAAATGGGGGCCAGGAAAATGGGGTGGACCATCCTGAGTCCATGGCTGTTGTGGCATGTACAGACCCTGTGTGTCCCCTGGGCCGGGAAGAAATGTGAGAAATTGTTTCTGTGGGAGCTAACAGGTGGCATAGCGGTTAAGGTGCTGGGGTCCCACGGGGCCGATCACAGTTTGAATCTCAGACCTGGAGGCTTGTGTGGGGCCGACCACAGTTTGAATCTCAGACCTGGAGGCTTGTGCATCCCCAACAATCCTGAGAGGAGGGTGGAGGAGAAGGGATCAGGGCATGGTCATTTCCCTGGGAGGTGATTCCTCACTTTCCTCTCACTGTCTCTCTCTCTCTTCCTCTCTCTCTGGTGAGTACATAGGCCCTATGGCAAAACAAAAACAAAAACAAAAATGCTTAAAAATTGCTTCTGTGATAGAGTTGCTGGACTGAGGTGACAAGGACAAAAAGATGCCCTTTGCGAGTCTTGTCTGTCCTAGCCAAGGACACTTCTGCAACCCCATAAAGGTGGCCGAAGCAGGTGTGGTGAGGTGGACTCCGTGGACCTAAGGAGAAGATGACCTAGACCTTCTAGAATGCCCTTCTAGCCTGGCTGAGCCTGAGACCACCCCCAAGGGGAGCAGGCTGGGCATGGTCTCCTGGGGGCTGGGATGCTCCTGGCTGTCCAGCACGTGGCTGAGACGATGACGGAGGAGAAAGACGCCGGGGAAGGCAGGAGGCACAAGATGCGGAATGGCCCCGGGAGCTCCTGGATCTCCTTCCTGGGTGGCCGGGACAACACAGACTAATGACGAGGAGGTGGCTTCACAGGAAGGGTCGCAGGAGTCCGAGGACTCAGGGAGCGCGGAGTCGGAGCCCCAGGAAAGGCGCCCAAGAAGCCCTGGGCCAGGAGGGCGCGCACATCTGCAGGCGCCTAGCTCAGGCCCGCGAGTCCACTGTCCCCTCCCTTCTCGGGCTTGCAAAATCCGCGGGGGCGGCGGAAGCCGAGGTCGGGACGTCACTCCCGAGAAGAGAGCCGGGACCCAGGCTGCGACCAAGGACGGTGCCGCGGGGAACAGGAAGAGCGAACGGACCGCAGGTGCTGGGGGTACGGCCAAGGCTGGCGAGGGCTGCCTCCCCACCTCTCCCCCGGCTCCAGCTCCGCCGGCGGGAAGAAAGCTTGTCGGGATAGGGGGCTGCCCCAGATGCCGCTAGTAGGACCCGAAGACGACAAGGCTTCGAGCGGGGTGGGCCCCCGCCCCTGTGTCTCCGCGGTCTTCGGCCTCCGCGCCCGCGGTGCACGGCCGCGCCCATGCACGTGTTGGTGGCGCTCGCTCTGCACGTCGTGGGCGGGTGGCGCGAGCCATCCTGATGCGGGAGGAAGAGAGAACCGCGTGCCCAGAGGCGGCAGCCCCAGAGCGGGGACAGCGGCTCCGGAGGCGCCGAGTGGGCGTGGCTCGCCGGTGGCGCAGCCGGGGGTGTCGCGGGGTACCCGACTCCTGGGGGTTTGAGATGGCAGCGGGGACAGCGGCTCCGGAGGCGCCGAGTGGGCGTGGCTCGCCGGTGGCGCAGCCGGGGGTGTCGCGGGGTACCCGACTCCTGGGGGTTTGAGATGGCGGGCAACTTGCCCTCAATCTTCCTTCCTTCTTCCCACTGGTGCCGTGAGCCGGCCTGGGGTTTGTGATGGAGGCCGGCCATCCCGCCTGGCAGGGGAAGTCGTGGAAGAGCTGAGCGCTGAAGGGGAGGTGGTGCTAGAAAGAAAAGCCTGATTGACAGAGGGGGCCTGGGGCAGAGAAGGGGAGCCGTGGGAGAGTGGGGGAAGAGGGAGGAGGACGAAAGCGGAGACACGCCAGCCAGCCAGCCCGCCGGCTCAGCCCCTCTGAGGCTAGCTTGATGCAAATGAACCAGCGGGGCCCAGGCCATCTGCTGAGCTGTCATTCAGGCTGCAGTGCCCCTCCCCCATTCCAATGATCTGTGGCGATTCAGGGAAAATCCAGATTTTGGGCCCCTTCTGGGCAGAGGGGGCAGCTCCTCTGGGAGTGGCCTGTGGCTCCCCTGAGTCGTCTCACCCGCTGTCCCCACTGTCCCGGGGGGCTGACAGTCCCTCAGTTCTGGCCTCGCAGCCCTGATGTCAGATGATGAAGGTTCCTGGGTTTGACTCTTGAGTGAATGAAGGCCAGAGGGGACCGGGAGAGGCAGGTGTGAGGAGCACAGACTGCCCGTGGGTGTGTCCTTTGAGGGGGGCAGGTGCTCCCGGGGAGGAAGCCGCAGCCTGCCCTGGCAGCCAGGGTACGCTGTGGGGCATCAGCACCTGCTGTCCCCAGCACCGACGCTCTAGACCCCTGTGTCCCAGTGGTGCTGGGGCTTGGGGTCTCCCTGCCCTCGACAGCCACCTCCTCCCGCATCTCTGGTCCAGGGCAGGTGTATTTCTTCACTCACTATTCCATCCCCAGGAGGGCCCTGCCCTGCTCCATGGGGGAAGGGAGGGGGCATGTCCTCGCAGCCAGAGTGGACTGGGCCTATCCCATGGGGGCGCCAGGTGCAGTAGACTCAGCTACACAGCAACTGCGGCTACTTCTCTGTGCTAGGAGACTCTGGTCACGGGGGCCTCCTGGGGACAGTGACCAGTCCATGGAGGAGCAGGCTAGGTGGGCCTAGCCAAGTGGGCCTGGATCTAGGGAGGAAACTCCCCCACCCTGGGGCCCGATGGACATGGGCCTGGGCCTGGGCCCAGCAGCCGCTGGAGATGCCTATGTGGGGGGTGCCGGCGTGTGTCCCTTCTCAGGGCAGCTGGGTAGGTCCCTCCACTGTGTGTTGGGTCACCTGGGATCCTCCAGTAAAGATGAATTAAGCCTATGGTTGGTCTCAGCTCTGGGCAGGGGGCAGTCAGGGTCAGGCAATGGAAGCCCCACCGTGGTGGCTTATGTTTGGCCAGGACACCCCAGAACTGCCCTGTCTTTAATTTGTGCCCAGGGCCTTTGCTTCATCCGTGCAGGTGCCTCCAATACCCAGCATCCTTCACCTCCAGCACGTCAGCCCTACCTGCAGGCCACCCACCCAGAGGGCTCCCTGCACTGCTGCTGCCCCTGCAGCGCAACCCAGCAGGTGGGCAGAGGGGGCAGGCAGCAGTTCCCTAGAAAGGGCGGTTGTCAGCCCTGTCCCTGCCATGTCCCCACCAGAGCACCTTGCCAAAGATGCTCAGTTGACATTTACTGAATGAGTGACAAGGCAGGCTAGGCCACCAGACCCCAGATGGCCTGCGGAAGAATGTGCTAGAAAAATACCGCCGATGGAGGGAGAAAGCAGGGACGTGGGGAGCGCTGGAAGTTGAGGAGCGGCTGCGCAAAGGCCCTGCGTCCCTCAGGGGACTGGCGCCCGCAGCATCCTGCGCGCAAAGGGACCAGCTCCAGCGGTGGTAGCTGCGGGTCGCTCCTGTGCCCAGAGCCTCGCGGCGGCGTGCGGCACGCGGCTGCCCCCTGGCGGGAGACAAGGCGACGTCTTGGCTGGAGGCCGCGCCGCGAGCTTCACCTGGGCTGCTGAGTTCCAGGCCCGGTTCTCAGCGCTGGAACGGGATCTCCTGGAGTCTCTGCGGTGAAGGCAGGTGACCAACGTCCTCGCTGGGGACAAGGTCCATGCACTAGGTGGCGAGGACTGCTGGGGAGGGCCAGGCCGAGGAGGGCGGACAGGAAAGGGCTTTGCTTGAGCAAAGACGCAAAGGAGGTGAGAGGGGGCGAGGGCGGAGGGACGCAGGGCAGGAGCCGGTGCAAAAGGCCGGCAAGAAATGCTGAGACAACATG